TAGGGAAATACTGGTCTTTCAGGTAGCTTGGACCCAAATCATACAGGGTTGTATATAACCAGAAATTTGAATTGGGCTAAGAAATGGTCTGGTAGCCAGTGAAGTTGTTGTAACAGGGGAGATTTGCACCTGTTTGGTGGCAGAATTATGAATCAGCTGAAGTTTCTGGACACTCTTTGATATGTGACTGTAGCCAGATCAGACATCTCATAGAACAGGTGCCACTTGTACAATAACTTTGACTATGCAAATACATTTCCGGCAACTACTCAGACTTGGGCATTCAAGCTTTGGGATGAATCCAGGATCAACCAGATCTGTCTCTTCCTCCTGTTTGTATTAATTCATACACCTTTAATTCATTCACCTTCAGCCAGTCAGTTACTGACATCAGACAGCTTGGTTTTCTGTACAGCAGCTTTGTCCAAAGAAATTAACTGATTATATTCAATCTTTCTGATCCTGACAATCACTGCAGACCCAATGGGCTTTGTCAAAACATATTAAACTGAATAAGGACTATACAGTGTATTATTTATCTTGATTGTCATTTTGCTACCTCAGGATAAAACTGAAAAAAAATTAATCATAAATGTTGCATCTTATTACATCACATTAAACCTTTGTACGTACTTGAAGTGCCATGAGACTGACGGGCTAAAATTATGGCAATGAAATACTTCAGAAATAGAAAGCACTGATTTTAAATAGCTTGAAGAGGAAACTTTTAATGCTTTTTAAAAACATGTAACATATTCTACCTTTCCATCAAATGAACCACTAAGTGGCAAGGTTTGATTGGTGAGATAACATTTCAACCATGAACTTCACTGTTCACAATTCAGATGTTGAGCCCATTACAAATTTACTCTTTGGAATCACTGTGCAAATATTATAGGAAAGGTGGGCTTAATAATATGTAAAAGTGTCGTTGTTGTCCCTTATCCTTATAAAGCAGCAAGAAGACATGTCTCTTACCTTATGGACCTTGCATTCTAGAAGTCAGCAGAGGGGAATATACAGAAGTCTGGGGACTTGATGGAAGATTTAGAGCAATGGTTCTTCATCTTTGACCTTGCAGAAGTTTTAGAAGTCAAGTCCCAGAATCCTTGACCTGGGGCTTCTGGGATTTCAACATCTGAGAGGGCCAGAGTTTGAGAACTAGTGGATTAAACAACACATCAGCCAGGAAACTAGACATAACCCTTGACTCACGCATTGTATACAGTTAATTAGGTACAACAACCCGTTCCATCTAATGAATACCCCAAAAACCAGCATGAAGAAAAGCAACAGAATTGTTTGTTCAGCTGCATTCAAATCTTTCAGGAAATGAATTATCTGTGTATGCTATTCTATTTTAGAGGTTTTCCCCCCCAAAATATTGAAAATGATTAAAGCTACGGTACATGTACTTATTTTTATTGTTTAAGCAGCACACTTTATTTTTTGTATAGTAGATGGTTATACCAAATATTGTTTTCAAAGAGCATTTTGAATTAAGCTGTGAAGTGCAGCAAAGGAAACTACAGGAAGCCTTGGGAAGGAAGGTCTATGAGTGGACTGTAACATTGTTTGCTGGTACAAAGAGTATATTAGGAGAGGAAGGCCAAGGAGAAAGATGAAAAGCTTTGACTTGGCCTTTTCTTGGCACATAAAACCCTGTACACTGGGGTGGAGAGATGAAATGGAAAATGGGCATTGAAAAGCATGGTAAATATTATGTTCCATTTTTACATGTTTTTGTGGAGTTCCAGCTGAAGAAGCTGCAGTGTGAACTGATAAGGTGCTAGCTGTATGTGACCAGGCACACAACTGACACCTCATCAGAAAGCTATGGCAACTTCTGCAACTGGAGTTCTGTGCTTGTATGAAAGGAAATTGGCTATGTAAATTTGATGTGATCACCTAGATACAGTGCATATGAATACAGCAGTAGAATAAAGGAGCAAGTCCATGAAAGATTCCAGAGGCAAAGAGGAGGAATAATTTCTCTCTATGAAATCATTGATCAAGAAGATAGAAAGAGAACCAACTGAGAATAACTACAGATTTCTAGTGGAGAGCTGGAAAATTCTTTTCTTCTAGATGTTGTTGGGCTAGCTCCCATTGATCATACTGAAGTTGTTGGAATACAGAATCCAACAACACCTGGGGCCAGAGGTTCATATACACCTGAGATAGGTGACCAAAGCGTGGACTCTGTTTTGCATCTGGTCCAAGTTGGGGCCTTTTTTGTTCCAAATGGCTGATTTCACCATCTAGAAAGTATAATTGTCCATTTCGCTCCATTAACGTGGTGGCAACCTGTTTTCTGGTGAGCTTTTTTGAAAACTGAAAGTGAACATCTGGTCACTTCTTATTGTGAAAGAATGCCCCTACAAACCTAAGTCATGCAGTCTTTCCCCAAATTGAAATGAAATGGCTAGTTGGGCATGATGAGCTGTTCAGAGTCCAAATAAATTTTGGGGTAGTGTAAGGTTCCTGGAGCTGGTTGAATAGTATAGTGAGTTCGGTATCAGGTTCGGGAGCCAGTGGTTGGGCATTCAATTCCCCAGTGTGCCTTCTAGAAGAAGAGCCAGCTTGTGTAACCTTGAGCAAGCTTTATAGTCCCAGAGCATCTCTAGAAGAAGGGAATGGTAAACCACTTCTGAGTACTCTAAACCTAGGAAATACCTGAAAAGGATTTAATAAATGCTTTACTGTCCTTCTGCAAACAGGTGAAGACTTTTCTTTTCAGGCAAGCAATGAATGGCTGCTGAGTGGGGTTTTTGAAATGAATTGTTGTACATTACCGCATGCAATTGAATGTATTTTGGTTTGCTTATGTTTTTTGGTGGTGTATCTGTTGATCCTTTTAGTGTGATCCTTTTAGTGTGGCAGACTCACTGTTATTATCTTAAATACTGTCTTTTAATTATTGCAAGCTGCCATGGATCCTTTTAAAGGAGAAAGGCAGGTTAAAAATATTTTAAATAAATAAAAAATAAATAAATATGCAGATATATTGTTCAGTTGCCTATTGGAATTTCAGCAATTTAGACCTGAAAATCTAGTGTGTTATATTGATAATTACTCTCTAGAGGGCAGCATTGATAACTACTGTACTTCAAAAAATTTCCTTAACTGTACCATATCAGTAGCTCAGACAAAATAGTTTACTCTCCCTCTCTCTCACTTAATAATTTAGAAGTATGTCCAGTGCAAAGCAAGCAAGGCTAGCATTTTCTCCCTTTCAGTATCCAAGCCTTAAATGAGGCTTCATTTCTTCAAATGTTGTTTAAAAGCCCACCCCACCCCCAGAAACAGCTGAAGCCATAGAAAAGTCATCTCCTTAAAATGTCAAAGTAATTTATAAGAAAGGCAACCCGCTTATTAATTTAAGAGATTGGTAGAATAAATTTAATCAGTGTAAGACCTCTATCTCTGAACAAGATGGGGGAAAAGTTGTTTGCTGCTTAAAGTTTTTTTTTTTTGCCCGTGCCAGGTCAGATCACTCCCGAGCTGGTAAATACCATATCCTTGTTTACTGCCCTCTGTATGTAAGCATTTTTATTTTTAGAATGTTGGAAAACATTTAAGGTAACCTATAGTTCATAAAAGCTGCAGTAAGTTAATGTTATTCAGGACCTCATCTGAACATATGGATGCAAAGAACAGTTTGGGTTGTTCATTTTTTGTCTTCTACCTCTGCCTGTGCACATGTTAATCATCAATACCTGAAGGAGGCTATACCTTTTCATTTAAATGTATGTAGGAGATAGTCACACAAGTGGGCTGCCACTACATACTGTAAGTGTGGCCCACGACTGTATGTGATGTAATAGAGTGAGAGACTGGGACTCAGGACATGTGGGTTCAAATCCGTGATGGATGGTGGAGACTGCAAATGTCTTCTGCCGAAGTGTTCAGGCTGAGTACTAAAAGGCCTCTAAAGCTGCTGCAGAATAAACTGGAAGATGATGAAGCTATTTCAGAATGAACTTGTTTTATCCTCATTGGTATACCACTGTCAAGAGTCAGGCAGCTGCCTCTTGAATCATGTGAAATTTATAGACCATCTTGAAGGGAAGGAAGAGTTCTCTTTTACAGCAAGGGATGCAGCTGGTGAACTCGCAAAACTTGGTGAAATACTGTGGACTGTACCTGCTATTCTGGTGTCCAGAGGTATTGCTGGATACACTTCTGATTATGATATCCCTTCATTTAAGCATCATGAAAAAAGAGGACAAAAGAGCATACAGATCCGCAGAAAATTTACCTGTACTAAATAACATGAATGGGTAAAAATTTAGAGATGTTTCCCATATTTGAAAGGGAAATACAACATCTTTAACTGTCGCAAGGAGAACAGTGACAATTAGATGGCTTGAGCGCTTGCAGATTCTTCTGTTTCTGTATCAGGCAGTGATGATCAACTTCAAAGCCTCTGCTTTTCCTACTTAATAGGTCAGGCTTGGATTGGATAGTCCTTCAGGTAGAGATAATCTTCAAATGGACTATCCTCTTGAGTGTTTCTTAGATAGAGGCCTGTCCTCTGTAAAGCAGGATAAGTAACCACCCTATTTCAGGCTGTCAAGCTCCTTGTCAAGTGAGACTGGGATTCGGAACATCCATTAGGATATCAAGTTTGCCTGACAATGAGAATTTCTCCATTTTCTGTCAGCCTCACTTTATCCACCACTTTCTACTCTGTTACTAATCTTGATTCAGAAAAGTTACAGCTGCTGAATGAGACAGGTTAGAACCACAAAGAATCTTGAGCTGCAGGGAAAAGGTAAAGGATGGTTTTTATGCATGCAGATAAATATAAATGAATCTTAGAAGGAAGGTTGAGAGGTGTACTGAGCAAATATTTCCCATTCAGAATTGTGTTTTTAAAAAACATTTTGAGTTTCCAGTTCTGTTTCCCGTATTTTAAAGTGATTGATGTGAGTGCAGTAATTAAAAATGTTTTGATTGAAAAATTAATGCCATACAATTCTGTGTTTTGTATTTAGACACAGGGAAGATCTTTACCTGGGGTAGAAGAGACTATGGCCAGCTTGGAAAAAATGGACAGTTATCTGAAAGGCAGATTCAGGATGTAAAGATATCATCCGAGCATGGTTTGAAGGAGCTCTTTCATATTCCTGCTACAGTGCCAAGTCTCACTGGAGCATCTCAGGTAAGAAAAATCTGTATGTTGTTAGTACTGGCCCTTTAGCCTTGTGTTATTAATTGGCAAATAAGACTATAACTCTGGTCCCAGAATTCAAGGCATAGACATCTATGCACTCAGGCATTTACACATAGAAAGGAGTGCGTAGTGGCAAGAGTAGCCCTATCATTAGGCAGAGTGAGGCAATCGCCTTAGTTGGCATATGCTGAAGGCAGCAGCTGTTCTTCCTACTAACTTCTTGTTTTGAGTGTGCCACTTAGCAAGACTTCCCCATTAGAGAGAGGATATTTGTATTCATATCCCTTGAGATATGAATATGAATATCAGCACCACAGGTATTTGGGAAAACTGGACCTTCCTCCCAAGAACTGGCCAGTCCACTTACTGTTCATCATGCACAGTGTCATCATTCTCATCACGCCAATTGCAGAAGTAGCCCAGCTGGTGCTACTGTTGGAATCTCCGCACAGCCAGCCACTCCGACAAGGAATGATGAGTCTCCCTGCTCAGCTGCTGAGCGGTCGGCTGTGCGGGGAGGTGGGGGAGTGCCAGCTGGGCTACTTACGTGATTGGTGTGATATGAATGATGACAGCTGTATTCACCACACAGCGAGTGGTAAGTGGATTGGCCAGTTCTGGCGGAGGGTCCAGTTTCCCCAAGCACCTGAGGTCCTGGTATTTGTATTCGTATCCCCAGGGATGCAAATATGAATATCTTATCTCTGTTCCTAATGCATCTGTGTTTCACCATTTCCACGTACTGTACAAATTTTACATTTGGTAATATGGCATTGACTGGGGAGGCTGTTAGTTTGTGTACTGGAGAGCATCTAAGGACTATGGAACCCTAGGCAAAGGCTTCAGTAGCCATAAATCAAAATGAAAGAAGCAGGTGCCAAGAATTCATCCAATTAAAAATAGAAATATTGATTACTGTAACCAGTTAAATGTGAGTCCAAGAGGTAAGAGTTTATTTTGTTAATAAACGTCTTAGTAAGCTCAGATATAGAAAGAAATGAAGCATACAGGCTGAATTTGAAAGCTAAAACTTAGAGATGCCAATTATAATTGAATAGTGAGAAAACTAAGTGGAGCTGATTCTTTAGCAAAATTGACAGCTTGGCATTCACTGCCACTGGCCACAGTCCAAGACTGTCACTAAAAATTGGACTTAACCAGAATCTCAGGGAAAAAAAGCATCTTATTACTTCAGTGTCTGAGTCATCAGCCTCATGCTACTTTGAATGGTGAAAAGGGATGTATCACAGCACAGAGACCCCACCCCCAATTTATCAAGGAGACAAAAGAAGAGGAGACAGGACACTGGAAAAAATGTGAACATTTATTTGTATATACAGAGGTGCTCAAATAAACAAGGGGGGGGTGGAAGCAGAAGGAAGGCACTCTCAGGAGAAATTGACCTAATTACAATGGGTAGCCTGTGGCTGACCAACTGCTCCATCTAACTTGCCATGGATTTAAAAGCACTGCAGTTAAAAAAAAACCCCACAGATTTCCTAGATTTTGTCTTTGCCCTATATATTCTGATGCATGGATAGATCAACCAAAGGGGTACATTCTTCATATAATATGTATAAGCTTTTTACTCCAGCAATAATACCACGGTAGTGGAAAGCATCTGGGCCACGGAGGCAGTTATTCCTTTTTATATTGACCATGTGCTATCGGATCCGATCGGATGATGGGGGAGGATTATGAGGCAGCAGCCATTCTGTACAGTCCATTTTATGGGTATATTTGGCTTTTGCTTCCTTCAAAAGAACACAGTCATAATTTTTATGTAACAGGATAAATAAAGGGGGGGGGACACACAAATATTTTCATTGAGTGAGTTGTGGGGTATTTCATGACCCCTTAAAAGATTCTGAATATTCTGAATATTGAGGGTTAGTGTTCGTGTTTAATGCAAATGTCTTCTATATCCTTATTAAGTGGGAGACCAGATTACATTTACTGCAGTTCAGGTCGGGGGCACTGGTCTGAAGAGAAAATACAAGTTTGAGGACTGGAATCCCATGCTGAAGTTGTACTATTCTAACTGTTTGTAAGCAGTCACATTCTTTCTATCTCCAGCAGTTCATATTTTCTGTCTGTTGCCACAAACAATTACACATAAAAAGATTAAAAATGCTTAAGGTTTGGTTCACAAAAAGCAGGAAATATCCAGTTCCATTTGCAATCTTCCTATATGCCTAGCTTGCCATATGTTTTATAAGGGCAGGATGAATAAATGCCTTATTTATTTGTTTGCTTAGTAACAGTTTGGTCTGCCACTTACTGCAAATAACCTGCCCAGTAGGCAGTATGCTTATCTGACTTGGCTATGCTAGCAGAAGTTTGCAGTTCACCTTCATGCTAATCGCATACCATTGTTCAGCCCATGTGCACAGTTTCTACCGAAGCATAGGTGTGATCATGGTAGTGATATCTTAAGTGCATGAGAAGTTGTGTCAGCATTGCTTTGCTATTTCTGACTGAACAGGCACTGTATATCACAACAGGGTCCCAGGTTCCATACGCTATTTCTGACTGAACAGGCACTGTACTGTATATCACAACAGGGTCCCAGGTTCCATATTGTGGCTTGGAGGATGGGTGGTGAGTAGGGAAACGCAGCCATTGTGTTTATGGTAACTGGAAATGGAGAATGAAAGCCAATTGAATTATTTATAATGAGTTGTGGCAACATATAGGAGAGATGCAGGCAGGAAAACAGCCGTATGAGGAGGGAGCATAGCGTTATCCTTCAGAGTGTGAGCTGTCTTGACAATTTGTACTGTGAGAGAATATGCCGTTTTAAAAAAGTAAATGGACAAAGATAGTATGTAAAAAAAGAGACAAGTTAATATTATGTCACAGCATTTTGTAAATAATTGAAGTATCTCTTAAGCATTCCAGATGTATTGTCTTAATAGTTCTCGCTATAATAGACACTGGGCATTTTCTATTCTAGTTCTGAGGCAAACTTTTACAGTGGTGCCTTGACTAACGAACTTAATCTGTAATGGAATGGTGTTCGTAAGTCAAAATGTTCGTAAGTCAAAGCAGCATTTCCCACAGGAATGCATTGAAACCTGATTAATCCGTTCCGGCTGTTTTTTGTTCTTATATCAAGGCATGGTTTGTAAGTCAAAGCATTCATTCCCCCCACCTCGTAATGAGGGTGAAAGAGGAGAGTGCAAAAAATGGTCTGAAGTTCAACATCAAAAAAACTAAGATCATGGCCACTGGTCCCATCACCTCCTGGCAAATAGAAGGGGAAGCTATGGAGGCAGTGACAGATTTTAATTTTTTGGGCTCCGTGATCAGATGGTGACAGCAGCCACGAAATTAAAAGACGCCTGCTTCTTGGGAGGAAAGTGATGACAAACCTATTATGACTTGTCAGAAAGATAAATAAAGCAAATTAAGTGTGAGCTTTCACTAGAATCTAAAATAACCAAGCAAAGGGTATTGTACTACAGTGGCATCATAAGAAGACAAGCTCACTGGAAAAGGCAGCAATGCAGAAAAAAGTGCAATGCAGGAGGAAAAAAGGAAGACTGCACATAAGATGGATTGACTCAGTAAAGAAAGCCACAGTCTTTTGTTTGGTGCTGCAGTCAAAAAGACCGGGGTTCAGATTTTGGGAATAAACTATGATACTCTTGTCTGCTTTGGGGATGAGAAATAGAGAAACGTGATTGCTATACACTTCAGACTTCTGCTGTTCTCAGCAGAAACTGTAAAGCTAAATGCGGTGGAGATTAAATTTTAGAAGGTTCCTTTTTTCATGGTTTTATGAAAGAATCAAGTCTCTCTCTCTCTCTCATGCACACACACACACACACAAACAAACCCTTCCTCCCTCAATTTTCAACAATTACTGTAGTTGCTTCAATTCAGTATGTCCATTTCCTCTCATTATATTTAAACAAGTTCAATGAAGCGATCATTTCCCCCCTTAATTCAAGCCTTCCGTCCTTCTTGCCTGTTCCTTTTTTCAGTTTTGAGTCAGTCTCTCTCTCTGCCTCTCTCTCTCAATTTTCTACATACATTTAAACAATATATTTAAACAAGCTTAATGAAGTGATCGTTTCCCCCCTTAATTCAAGCCTTCCGTCCTTCTTCCCTGTTCCTTTTTTCAGTTTTGAGTCAGAATCTCTCTCCCTCCCTCTCTCAATTTTCTACATACATTTAAACAAGCTGATAAAGCCACCCGTCACTCTCTCGCACCTTTCTTCCCTCCTTAACTAGAGCTTTCCCTCCTCCTGCTTGCAGTCACCTCTGGCAGAAGCAGTAATCACAAGCCCGATTGACTGCCGGGGGCTGTTCTACAGCTGTAACCTTCTAAGAGCCTTATCTCTGATCTCTAAAAGAACCAAGGATTTACAAGTGCCGCAACCAAGGAAGGAAGGAGAGGTAGCTTCCAGTTTGAGGTTCAGCTGCAGGGGGTGGGAGTGGGGGGTAGTACAAGCACAAGTGGACTTGTGATTGTCACTTTACTTCTTTCTTTCTTTCTTTCTTTCTTTCTTTCTTTCTTTCTTTCTTTCTTTCTTTCTTTCTTTCTTTCTTTCTTTCTTTCTTTCTTTCTTTCTTTCTTTCTTTCTTTCGCATTGCACAATTCAAAATCACCAGGGCACATGAAATATAAGCAAAATGAAAAACAAAATGTCAACACAATCAAACTGTTTTTGATTGGAAATGGTCAGAACATGAGATGTGTGAAGAAACTTTTCTTTGACTTCACCTGTTGTTCGGGCAGTCGTCATCCATGAAGTGGGTAGATTTGGTGCTCTTCCAGTGCAACGCTTCTACTGCTGACTGCATGCTGTTGTCCAGGGGACACTTGAGTGTACTCATAATGTTTTTCTGGTTTTCGGAGAGGTTCCTTCTGTGTTGCTCTCTTTGCTCTATGCCAGTTACCCACTTGTTCCAGCCAGGCTGTATGAAGATAGTGGTGATTGTGGACCAGCAAAGAAGGCCTATCTCTTTGTATCTTGCTA